AATAACGGATATGAATATTATCGACGATGAGATTCAACAAATACAGTATCAGATCTGTGAACAAGAGTTATTGACGTACAGGTATACCGCGTGAGTGATAATTTTCTTAATAATAATTCCACTTTCGACATTATTACCACACTGTTATCACCGACATTATTACCGTGGTTACCCTTATCACGATTAAACCTACTGTTATCACCGGTTATACCATATTTCATCTTATCACGATTATACTTATCGTTATACCTACTGTTATTACGAGACATACCTAATACATAAATCGTTATACTTACATCGGAATACCTACGGTTATTTCAAGACGATGTTTCCGCGTATCTAGTGCATAGCGAGTGTCTCGTATACCTGTACGAAATATATACTCCCCGTTGATTATTTTAACAAATACAACGTTACTCGTACGCAACTTGTTACCTATGCGATGTATGACCGTCGCCTCCTCCGCGCACAATACGAAATATAATCGCTGGCGACGACGGACCTCTCGACCCTTCACAATGTGCGTACCGTTCCGAGAATCCAGTACGAAAACGGAATACCGTCGGCGGCGTGCGCAGTGTGTGTTTGTTGCATGCGAGGACCTGTACGAGAAAGTGTATTGTTCTCGGTTTTCCTGTTCGATCATGCACGGGTTCTTTCCGCGAACGTAAACCGAGTTTCGCAGGTTCGATAACAAACCGATCGTCCGCAGTGATTTTACTACCAACCAGTGGCACTCGTCTTTTCCAGTTTTCCCGTCGCTTTCGTTTTGTGTTAATTTTTCTTAAATTCTCGTAATACAACGTTGTTTTGTTTTCCGTTTAAAAACGAATACGTTCGAATGTACCGACACGCCGGGCGCGGAAGAGTTTTTAATGTCATACGTAATACGACTCGCCGCGCTAAATCGCACGACGGTGTACGATTTCAATGCGCTCTGTGTCCGTTCGCTCTGTGACGTTTTGTCTTATCGCGATTATACTTATCGTTATACCTTATGTTATACCTACTGTTATCACAAAATATACCTTATCTTGTTATACATACATCGGTATACCTACTGTTATCACAAGACGATGTTTTCACGTATCTCGTACATAGCAAGTATTTCGTATACCTATACGAAATATATCTTCCCCGTCTGTGTTACACACACGCCATCTACTCCCTGTTGATTATTTTAACAAAAACAACGTTACTCGTACGCAATTTGTTACCTGTACGACGCACGACCGTCGTCACAACCCCCGTCTCTTTCTTCCTGCATATTACGAAATACAATCGTTGGCGTCAGCGGACCCCTTCTCCGTTTCTTCCTACGTAATACGGCATTTTTTTATATTCGTACACCCATACGAAATATAATCGTCGTGCGATCCCTACGCCGATCTTATAAATATTACTTACACTCGTTATAAATAGCAAAGATTTTCATATTCGTAAACGACATTCCCAGCGAGGCGAACGTGTACAAAGATTCGTACCACATCTTTCTTTCACACACATATATTATACCTGTGCGTGTTTCTCGTCCGTAAAAATCCTGTACGATCCTGTACGAGTTGGTCTCTTAGCCCCCCACCAACCCATATTTGCTTGCATTTCATGCGTACGTATACGTGTATTATACATTATTACACACAGAAAAACCTGCGTTTCTTTATTTTTACTAGGAGTAATTTTAATTCCAATCCATCTCAATTTTTATCTTATAATTTAAATCTATATTAACATCTGACATTTCTTTCTCCAACCAGACATTTGAAACGTTCAATGAATCCAGGTTATCGAACTGCAATATGTAACGAACTTTGTTTCTGTGACGTATTTGTTTTATTCCAATTATGACTAATTCCGATTTGTCCGGTATTTCTCTCAAACGCCGACACTGTGTAACCATAACATAGCCATTTATTTCTTGCATAATTATTTCTTCGATTTGTTGTTTATCGTTTTGATTAAAAGGTAAATCATCCATAATCTCGTAATACTTCCGAAAAAAATTGAACATTTTCCACATTGTGAACGAATCTCCATTAAATGTAGTAACTCCATTAGTGTTAAATGTTATAATAGTTTCTTCTGTCGGGAGGACTATTAATACCATTTCGTTAAACGGAATTAAAACGTATCCTTCTTCTTTAAGTTTCTCTCTAATGTTGTAAATATTTATAACATTTTTTTTAAAAGAGCCTTATAAGAAGTATCACTTTTGGTCTCATTTTTTTCGGCCAGTACTCCAACGTATGGGTATTTTCCTTTAATATTAACAGTAAGAGCGGAAATTCGGTAAAAACCACTTGTATCCAAATTTCGCCATTTCTTATTAAAATAATTTATTATTTTTTCTTTTAATCGCGAAGTCTCGTGTTCTTTCTCTAATAGATGCATATGCTCTTCTTTATTGGAGATTGTCTTTGACAAATAATCTATTTTTCTTTTTTTCGTATTTATTTCTTCCAATTCTAATTTTCGTTTTCCCGCAGATGTTACGTATACAGACGAGAGAGGGTCTATTTATTTTAATGTATACGGAGACAGTTTATTGGTTATGTCCGATCTTTTCCTTAGAATCTGGGGAATAACATTGTTAGTTTTGATCAATCCAGTGTCCGAGGATATCGAGATATTTACTCGCTCCGAGATGGTGGAGAAACTAGTCCCGGATCTAGAGAAAAACGTTTCGCCCGCTTAAATATT